ACTGACTTGGGGTAGGTGGAGGGAGAGAGATGGCTTTGAAAGGCAGAATGCTTACAGGGATAACCCTTTTTCAGTTTTACAGAACATGGCAGGGTTTAAAAAATGTGCCTGCCGTAGCACATGGACAGACTGCATGATCTCTTTTGAAATCTGCACAGGATCTTTTTACCCGCTGGGTTTAATTTCAGAATCCAGTAGAGTCATTAAAGAAAATAAAATTATGTTTGTTCTTTCATCTGGAGTACAGAGCAGTATCAATTTTTCATTCCCTCCTCCTTTGCATTCCCACTTTCAAAAAAAAAAGATGTATAGATGGAGGAATTCACCCTATAGCTCCCCTAAAATTTCTGGTCTCCAGCAGCTGCTTTGAATTGATTTTGTATACATGGTTGCCTAATGTGTGCAGCATGTAACAATGCTCCTGTGCTCTGGAACAGGAGATTGCCAAACTCAAATGTATGTGTACGGAGCTGGCAGTATCTAGAAAGGTCTGGCAGCATCTTCCCAAACGTCTGAGTTTTCTGATCACTCTTTTATGAAGTAATGGGGCATTCCAACACTGCTGTGTCCCAGCACTTCCTGCTCACCTTCATCAAGCAGAATATTTTTCATTTAAAGACAGGAAGACACAGACAAGGGGCTGGAGGACGCAGAGACATTTCCAACACTAATGTCTCATTATACTTTACCATTCTCTTGTCTGTGCATTCCCTGATACAAGTATTTCAGACTGAGCAGGTCTTTCCTTCCACTGTGTTTTAATCGCTTCCATATAATAATAATTTAAATATGAAAAAATACCTCTGCACATCTAAGAGTGATCTAGATGTAACACTTCCTCCCCGTATTTCCTACTGTGTAACTGCACTGCACAGCAAAGTTTCTGGCAGTTTGTGGGTTTGAGCCAGATGGATTCTCTGTCAAATCCTCTACATTTCTATCCAGCTCCTGCTCCGGCATGGGAAGTGCAGCCTGGTCATGTTCTGTATATGAGGAGATTCTATATAGTGGCATTGGGATGGGTGTGGGCTGTGAGAGAATGTGGGGCTCAAAAGCCAGCAGCCACTCTGGCCCCAAGCTCAGCCTCAGGGGCTCCCTTGTCCTGCAGCCTGACATTGAAATTAGAGGTGCTGCCACCAGCTACAATTCAGCTTTAGTGTATCAGGTGAGGGAAAGACTGGGCTAGAAACACACCAGCCACTTTTGGATAGAATCAGCTTTTATAGGTGACCTTTGTGCTGATTTGAGAAATGTGACGTGCCTGCCTTCACTGCTGCCTTGGTCCCTCCTGTGCATCTCACATGCAACGTACACAGAGCATCTCTTTTTTGTGATCTGGACATAATAAATAGCATTCCAACTATGGCATTTCAATTTCTCACTCCTCATGCTTCCTTCAGAGAACGTGTGATTGCCATCAAACTCCTCAAATTCAAATTCCAGATGGAGAATGCGCAAGGGCAGTTTAGAGCAGTGATTAAACCCATATCAGGAATTCCTGCTACCTGAGAGGGTAAAAGGGACACCAGGTCAGGCCAGGACATCCTGTCTCTGCTAGTGCCCTCTGGCAGAGGGGTAGAACATAAAGCTGTGGGGGGGTGGTGCTTCCTCAATATATCATAGTAAATAATGGGGGAACAACATATTCCTGTGGGGAATACCATATACATATGGCAATCTTTCAGCTGCTAAATTTTGGTTCAGATCTGAGCTGTGTCAAGGATTCTTAAAGGTTAAAATTATACTATTATTAATCCATCAAAGTTACCTCAAGACAGCAATATAAGTTTGAGTGAGAAGGGCTCACGTAGACAGATCTGGAATTTCAGCTTGTGTTCCAAATCATCTTAAACCCACTGGTTGGGCTTGATGATCTTCAAGGTCTTTGCCAGTGTTAACGATCCATGATTCTAGGATTCCAACAGGTCACCCCTGTGTCAGCTTTCCTGCAGGTCACTTTGGAGTCACTGACAAAACTAAAACTAAAATTGCTCTCTTCTTCATGGGACAAACCCAGACATTACCAAGTGAGGCACTGGAAAAGTGTAAATATTCTTCTGAGGTGCCAAAGAGCCCAGAAATGCCAGCAAAGGAATGAATGGCTGTGGGAGGATAAAGGGAGCTGACACATCTACTGCATCCCCAGTTGTGCTGCTGAGCCACAACGGGAGCTCCTCACCAGGTCTGTGCTCCAGAGCCTGCTCTGGCCAGGCTCCAGCCCCTCCGAGCCTCTCCTGTCCCGAGGAGCCCAAAATGAGCACAGCTCCAGTGTGCTCCAGAGGGACAGTCCCTGCCCTGGTGCTGCTCCCAGCCACGGTGCCCTCGGCCTCCTTGGGCACCCCCAGCCCACCACAGCGAGGAGGAGAGCCTCACCTGTGGCAGAGGGGTTCATTTCTTCCTGCCTCCGAGGCAGGAGTGGGCAGAGAGCAGCACTGCTCCCCGTGGCACCGCCAGGCGGGTCACGGGACCATGGCACAGTCGTGCCCAGGGTGGCAGCAGGGCAGAGCCCGAGAGCCCTGGCACAGCTGGCTCTGGCTGCTCTGCAGATTGCTGCTGCTTCCATTTGCATTTGTGAGCAGCTGCAGACCCAGACCCGCACCAGAGGCTGCAACAACCTGCTTGGACCTTGAAAAGGAGCAGTGGAGAAGCTCTGGATGGAGCTAAGGGAGGAAATGACGACGTGAGAACTGATTCATCCTTGCCATCATCTGCAGTTTTCACTGCGTTGCTGCCTTTACAAGCCTGGATTTGGCTGCAAGATATACAAGCAGTGTGTGCAGAAAGACTGGTGAATGAGGGTTATCAAATGGTGTTTATAAGAAAAGAAAATCTGTGTGCGTTTTCTTTTTCTGCTGAGCCTGTTCTTGGTTTTAGTGTCTGTAGAACTTTCTGCTGCGACCCATGCTGTAAAATTATAATATTCCTGTAGTACTAGAGTATAAGTGAAAAGGATATTCTTCTGCCTTTATGTAATTTTAGCATTATCGGTTTATTTCTGACCAGGAACTTAATTTTTTTTCTGCTTTGGCTTTAGTTTTGTTCGTTGTTTTTGTTCCTAAGAGCAGAAAAATACTGTATCTTTAAATTAGGAGTAGCTGAATAATGAATCTTGGGCAGTGAAAAGGCTAATGTGCTGTGGAAGAGAAGGAGTTTAATCTAATTTAGTTGGAGGGTGTCTGTCTGTGGTGTTGTTTTCTGGACTGTGGGAATAGAGGAGGGAAGCTGCCCCAGTGAATGGTTCCTCCTGAGCCAGAAGCAGTGGGGAGTCCCTTAGATGCCACTGATCCGAAGCCAGGCCATGAAAAGGGGATTAAAGAAATGTTCTGATTTGCAATTCACACTAATGCACCCCGTCGAACCTTTGGTAATATTTCAAACCACATTTCAAGGGAAGTGCCCTTAAAATAGCCAGCTAAATTGTATTAGAGCAATACTATACAACCCACTCATCCATTTATGATTTGTTTTTGGTTTTAATTCTTTTAACTCTTGGTGGTGGTGGCTTTCTAAGGCAATTAAAACTTTTGTGCATTGTGCAGATTTGCACTTGCATGGGAATATTTCTCTGTGTGCCTGTCCTATTAGGCAGACATGTTTACTTAAATTTTGGAGGAAAACTGCTACAAAGGTTCTGTAGCTAGGAAAAAATAAACCCATTTGGTTTAGAAAATAAACATTTCTCTGCATGCCATTTAATTTTATTAGTATATAGTGGAAATTCAGTCAGAAATACAGGCTTACAACATTGCTAGAATAGCTATCAACTTTCTTTTTGTGTGTGCGATCCTTTTCTTTCACAGTTGTTATCTATTTGGCTAACATTTTTCAAATATATATGTTTTAATACCCGTGTTTTTAATCTAGAAATAGAATTCATTACAGGAATAAAATGTGGGTTAAAAAGTGAATAAATGTGTCAAAATATAGATGAGAATTGCATTATTGAGTGGGATTAACATTAAACTGATCTCTCTTTTTTTTGTGTAATAAATGGCTGGCCAGATATATTAAATCTGAAAATCAGTGATAGCTACAGACTTCTTAAATACAGGATTGTCAACATCAGTTCACGTTCTGTCATGACACACCATTGTTCCTCATAAGTAATTTAGACTGTTTTACTAAAAATCTTTAATGTACTAATTAACTCTTCAAGTCCCCAAGCTGCTCATTTCATTTCTCTTTACTGCTGAAGTGTCAGAACATTTTCTCTCAAATGGATTATTTGGGTCTTCTTTAATCCCATTTCAGAAAACCTTGCCTGGCTCTGTAATTTCCAATGGCTCTAACATGGATTGAATGGATGCAACTTTGATTTTCACCATCAGCCATATCAAAGTGTTTTATTCCACTGCCACTGTCATAGATTATCCAGCATGAAACTTTGCCATTGCAGGGACAAGGGCTGGTGCTTTTTTCTCCTGCCTCGTCTATGGTTTGCTTTACCTACAAAATATTTAGCTATGGTTTGAATTATCGCATGCCTTATTAAATATTCAAGTTTTTAAATCTTTTCCGTATGGGACAGAAGAAGAGCTGGACTTTAAGATAGAGATTATTCCTCTGCACATTTTTGGGAAGTGGGGAGATGGATAGCTAGAGGGAGAAATGCATTCTTCCTGTGAGCTGGCACATTATTTGAAATCATGTTTAATTATAAAGTTTCATTAAAAATCTTTTGCTTAAAATTTTAGAAGCCTAATAAGATTTCCATTAATTTAAACATATCACTATTCCCACAACGGCCCAAATGCTTTCTTTTTCCTCTTTCATCCATGGTTAAATATGTAAATAAAATGTCTAAAGTCATTCTTCAAAGAAGACAAAAGAAAAAAGAGCTGAGGGAAAAGACAGCCATAAAATTCCTCCCAATTCTCCATAACATTTGCCAGAGGGGGGCCAACTCCTAGCCAGGGCCTAGCAGCAGGGGTGCCTGGCTGCTCCATAGAATCACACATCTCAAATCCCACACACAGGAGAAAAAAATAAAATAAAATATCTTTTCAGCTGGAGCCTTCAAAAGGTTCTTTTCATTTATTAGTTACAGAGGTATCTTCCAGTTGCTGATTTCTCAGCGCTCTCATTTTTCTATAATAATGTTCTGTTTGTTACTCTCACTGACTCTGGCTCGTTGAATGGGTGATACGTGTAGATAGTCCTTAAAAATACAGAAAGTAAAAGAAATTATCTAAGGCAGGATGCGTTGGCTAAAGTAATGGCTAGAAAAACAAGGCTGATTTAAATTGGCACATGAAAGATCAATTAACAGAGACACAACTACAAAGGTTGGACGTTCCCCCCCTTCTTTTTTCTCACTTTCATTTGTGTTTCTTTTCTGCCTCTTAGGAGAAAAAGGTTGCTATCAGTGTTACAGAAAAAAAAAAGGCCATGTTTTATATAATGTATTTTTTCTAAATTTCTTTAATGTCAATGGTGATAGAATATGTTCTACAAAAATACTTATTGGAAAAAAAAAAAAAAAAAGAAAAACAAGCTCCCAAACAGTCCAGTTGGATAAAACAAACATTGAATATGTGCCTGTTATGCATTATTTAAATTCTACTTTTTTATTATTATTTAAATTCTACTTTTTTAAACAGAATTTACTTGTCCCTTGAAAAAGCTTTCCCCACACTTCCCTGCTACCCCCAGCTGAGCTCTCTAGAAGAGGAATCAGGATGAATGCAAACGCTAAGAAAACAGGCTTAGATTAATGAAGAATGGAAATGCCCCAGCACACCCTCTCTCTCTCACACACACACAGACACACTAAAATAAATAAAGCTCTTTTTCTGCTCATAACACTGCCTGCTTTTTTGATCCCTGAGGAATCTGAAAGTGTCCGAGGAAAGGTCGGTCCCTCGGAGCAGTGCTTTATAAATCGGAGCAGTGCTTTATAAATCTAATCTCCTCGATGCACTGAAAAGCCTCCAAAGGGACCTGGCTTTTCAAGGCACATTTTGATGGTGGCTTTTACTCCTTGGCAAGGGCTGGCCGCATCTCCAGGGCTTTCCGAGACAAGCGCAGCCCTGGTCCGCTGGCCCCGCTCGGATCCATCTCACCCTTATCAGCACGGAGGAAGCCCAGGGCTTCCTTCCAGAGCTGGGGGGTATTAACTCGGAGCGGCGGGATCTGGGAGTTTCCAGCAGGATCCGTGCTCTTTTCGATAAGAAACAGGCACTCATGGAGAGGAGCCCGGTTTGTGTGGGTGAGCGTGAATGAAATGAAAGAGAGATTTTCCTCCTTCATTAATATGTTCGCTAAAACTGAGCTCAAAGGGGGTGGGGGGCGGGGGAAGGGGGGGCTGAGCAGAGCTAATCTTTGACTTCTGCTCACTGTGCTCCTTTCCGTCTGCAAAACTGCGAGCTCTAGTTTGGCTGGGGATTTAACTTCCTCCTTCTCTAGCTCGGAGAGACCAATAAGCAAAATAAATATCAAAGCTTAACTTTAAAAGTAAACACAACTCAGTTTAGAACGATACCCGTCTCCAAAAATCTGTAAGTATTTTTTCTATAGTGGATGAAGTAACTTCCCCAAGG